GGGCACCTGTAGTACCTCCTATTCGGGAGGCTGAGGCAAGGGGATCTCCTAAGCTCAAGAGTTTGAACTTGTTTAAGCATTCACTCACCACTCACTTACAGGTGTACCATTTTTATCTTTTATACTTTATTTTCCTTGTACTGTTTCTATGTTTATATACACAAACGCTTCTCATTCTGTTACAGTTACCCACACAGTATTTAGTATAGTAACATGCTATACAGGATTGTAGCCTAGAAGTGATAGGCCATGCCATAGAGATGTGTAGTAGGCTATACCATCTAGATTTGTGTAAGTACACAACAATGTTGGCCTAATGATGCATTGCTCAGGATTTATCACCACCATTATATTAGCAATGAACCTAGCCAGAAGTATAATGTAACCTTATGAGTATATGATGTGACTGACCTCTTCAAAATTTATCCACCTAAATATATACAGTCTATTTTCTATAATCATGTTACTATAGGGAAACAATAAAGTTTTCCTTTTTTTGTATTTTTCACAGTGATAGACTGATAACATATAACTATCATTTTTCGCATCTCTCTTTAAGATGAGCTGATACAGATTAAAAGGAAAAAATTTGATGAGTGGAAGGAAGCCAACAGATTAAGTAATTTAAGTACTTCTTGACCAAATAGCCCAGTGTTTTTTGAAATAGTAGGTGCTTAGTAATGGTTTGGGTTTTTAAAAAAATATCTTACATGTATCTATTTATTCTTTAAGACATTTGCAATTTTTATTTATTAAAGTAATGTCTATATATTGTTAAACAATCACATATTAAATATCTGTGATATCACTAAAATATCTTTATTATCAAAAGCAGTCCTGGGCTCACTTTCCTAACTGTTGTCCCCCAAGGCAACTACTTTTACCTTTTTAACTTGCATCTTCTGACAATTATCTTCATACTGACAGTTAATAAGCTTATATTATTATTTCTTGATTTATTAGCCTATAGCTAATAGACTATTGATTTCCCATTAGAGTGACTTAGAATTTCTTTCTTTCTTCAACTTTGCTATTTTGTTAATAGGATTATAATTTTCAGTTAAATTTAGTATTTTGTATGTACACTCTTATGTTTATAAATATTGTTCATTGCTGAGTAAAGTAATACACAGTTACAATCTGTCCTCATAAAGATTTTTGCTTTCTTAGAGTTATGTTCTTTTCTTTCATTTGCTTAATTTTCTATGTATACACTGCTTGTTTGTTCCTTATGCATCAGCAGATCTGTTAAATGTCTAGCAATAATTGTATCCAATTCTCAAACACACCAACTAATACATAAGCTCTATCATTTTCTTTTTAGAGCCTTCCCTCCACAGCATTCTATCCTGCTGGCCACATTGCTCTATAGCCCAGATGTCCTGCTAGGACTTTCCTTATCCATTCTGATTTGGGATTGTTTTTTTTTTTTTTCATATTGAAACATCGTATTTATTTGGTTTCATAATTGAGTAGTGTCACCAGTATTCCCCACAGCATCCATGGCACTCAGAACCAGGCCATGCTGCAGACCTCTCCTGCCCAGGGAGACACCCTGAGGTCTGAGCAACCACTGAGCAGTGGGTGGAGGACTCAGCTTTGGTGCTGCCCCTGTCCCTGCTTTGGGGTACTCGGACATCTGCACACCCTCCCCTGCCGTCAGGGCTCCCCAGCCAGCCAGCACCCCTCCTGTGTTCCTGGAGCAGGGCATGTGTTTCCAGAAGTGGCTGGAGGTTCTATGGGGATGGGGACAGGGTGAGCACAAGACAGACCATGTGGTGGAGGCCAACCCTGCTTTTATTTTATGAGAGCTTCTCGATGGCCGACAGCAGTTCAGGCTTCAGGATGGACGAGTCTGGCTTGGCCCCTGCAGCCTTGACATCCTCCAACACAGCTGCATCCCATGAGAAGGTCAAGAGAGCTGAGGGCACC